GACTACTGGTCCCTAGTACAATTTTTACCCACGGTAACTTAAAGGCTACTTAAATGCAAATATGTATAGGGATTTATTTATCATTTTATGGTAGGCCTAGGCCAATATTTAAAAGCCTTACTCAGGCTACCTTGTAAAAATTAAAACATTTATGAATCAAAACATAGCTTAATATAGCCTAGCCTAGCCTTAACATAAATTACACACTGTAAGTTGTAGGTCTAATAAATATACACACAGGCTAGGTCACAGTCTCGCATGTGGGATATTAAAATAGGTATAGGTCTAAGTTTAGTTTAGTTATAAAAGTCGAAAGTTAAGTTACACTGAAAATAGTGGCGCTTGATTAACTTTATTTGAGGTTAAAGAAGTTAGCTATGGCTACTTTCACCTAAATTAGGCCTGTGATTATTACAATTATAAGTGAGCAATTTATAAAACAATCAATGTAACATGTGAACGGTTTCTAGTTGGATTGAAAATAATCCTAGGATCAAATTCATACATGACAAAATCAAAGCCTAGAGACAGGATTAGCCTAGATGGTAACTTTGTTCCTGTAGCAAGTGAAATGATGAACTCTTATAATGAATACAGTTGTATTCGAAGAACTTACCTTTAGTTTAGAATTGAAAAGTCCAATAAGCACTTAACTGAGTTAGAATAACTAAAAACTTAAAACAAAAAGAGATCTGAGGAGCAGGAGAGTTCAAGCGATGACTATTGACTAAGACTAAGTTAAGGGGAGTCGGATGTCCCTATATAGCCCATGTTAAATTGATTAACTTAGGGTACCGATATCTCAAGAACCAAAACAGATATCCTTTTAATTTTTTTTTTATTTTGTAGGTCTTTAAAAACTAAACATTTTGAATACATAAAGAAAATATATATCTCAAGGTGAATTTGTGACATATTTTTGAATTTATAAAATAAAAAACCGCAAAAATAATTTATATTATAAGCTACAATCAAATTAAAAAAAGCTTATTAAGAGATAAGCTGTATTCAATTTGTAGAGTATTATGTAAGAAACAAATTAAAAAAAAAACTATGAGGATATCTGTTGTGGTTCTGGAGAAAAATGTACCTTTCTACGAAAATTCATAGTTTTTCACAAAACGCGGTTAACTGGCAATCTACATAAGAACTTTGAATAAAAAAATATTAAATTACCTTTAATAGTGTCCAGCTGCATAAGATGGATTGTCTGGGTCCTCTTCCTCATCAAACAGTTCTTCAAGTCTTAATTTGGTCAATTTTGTGTTTTGTCTAATTTTTTTTTCTAATTCTTCAATAGCTTTTTCTGCTTTTCGAATACGAATCTCATCATTTTGTTTCATTAGCCTTATCAAGTTGTTGCCAGATTTGTAGCCTAGTTGCCTCAAAACTAAACATCTTACAATGTTACCTTGGTTGAAACAAGATATGGCTTCATGAACCCCCATATCTAGTGTGGATTTGAGAACAAATGTGGATTTCGGGATTCGCGACCAAATAATATTATTGACGGACTCATTTCGGTTCTGTGTACCGCCATGTAAGCATTTCTTCAAGAGATCAGGTGAGGCAAGGTCAACAAAAATAGGCTTTATTAGTTCCATAATTACCTTAGGGAGGTGGAAGTGATCTTTGTGGGTATAGATCTCTTTGTTCGCCTTCGCTCTCTGATACTTGCACCAGCTCTCCGCACCCTTAGGACAGTATGAATGCAGAGGGTTTTCATCTGAAGAGAGGATATGGAAGTATACAGCCCAAACTGCCTTCTTCATGTCATCTAGGCTTGAAGTATTCCTACGAATGGCTAACCCGTAATAGTTTTGTATGTCCATGATGGCACTGTCTGTTAACCGACCGCGGCCTCCAACCGTTTTCCCATCATTGAGTTTCTGACCAGACAGATGCTTTTTTAGCGTTTTCAGCCGTGATCCCATTCTCTTCTGCACATGCCCTACACATTCCAATTTCTCTATTTGAAAGTCAGGTCCATAGGGCATGAGTTTTTGGACAGTTGGGAAGGCTGAGCTGTCACCATCTCCTAAGTAATACTTATATTTAACGCCGTATTTGTCTTGCGATTCAGTGAACATCTCGCTTACTCCCCTAACTTCCATACTTCCACTAGGTCCTTCAAAGTTGGCCACACAATTCTCTACATGCTCCCTTTCCAGCCTTTTCTCACATCTGCAATGCTTGCTGTACACCTTTACATCAAGCACTTTCCCTGTGTCGACACTAACTGCTGTTACAGCACCATTTAGTGACCTATGGCCGCGACGCTGCCAAGTACCGTCAAGTGAAACACACAAACTGTCCCTATCAAAATTATTTGCAACCACAGATTCTTCAACTGCTTCTTTAAAACCTTCCACACAAACCTCTTTTATTGCCTTGCATATTCTTTTATTATAATATTTGAAAGCAGGGGGTTGAGGCAAGTTCATAATGGCACACACTGTTTTAGCGGCTTCCTCGCCCTTTCCGATACACCTAAATCCATAAACAAGCCTTGTGTTTATTACTGACTTCTCATTGTGCTTCTTTCTATCATTTTGATCTGATACTTCAGAACCACATCCAGTGCATTTTATTGTGATCTTCACACTTAGGCCTATCCTATTCGTGGTTAGCACCGTAAGTGAATTTCCGCACTTTGCGCAAACAGCAATTTCTTTTAACAAATTGTCCAACAGTTTAAAATCTGTTATATCAAACATTTGATTACCTTCATCATTGAATGCATCATAAGTAGTTAGCTTTGGTCCTACCTTCTTCTTTGATGAGCTTACTTTAGCATTTTCATTATTTTCCTCAGGTGAGGTAAGCCTAGGCCTAGGTTGGATAGACTCAGAGTCAGTTTCATCCACTGATAGTTTTCTTTTTCTTGAACCAAAGAATTGCTTTGGCCTCTTGCTAAATACCTTTTTCATTCGAGGCATGTCTTCAACAAACACAAAAGACTATTGTTTTATCACAAAATACTTCTTAGTCAAACTTCTAAACACCAAACACTCACTTGGCAAACAAAACAAAACAATAACATCACTTTTGTTTATAACCTAAACAATAACAAATAGATCAGCTGAGAACTGCAGACAGTATCCAAACAGTTGAGTGAAGATTGCTATCAATACAGCTAACTAATATAGAAGATCGTATAGATAATAACTGAAGTACATACTATAAGAAAAACAATTTGTGGTTTTTGTCACTATGGAAACGTCAAAACTCAGTTGCAATGCGTTAGTAAAACTTTCATAATTTTTTTTCTAGCAATCGGATTTCTAAAAGTAAGGTATCATTTGAAAGAGCATTAAATGAGGAATAATACAACATAAAAAACCAAATTTCGATAAAAAAAAATTTTTGGCCATCCGACTCCCCTTAAAGTTTAGGTTTAGACTGCTATATTGCAAATGGCGGAGTTGCAGTTGAGCTTGAGGCGAGGGTAGTTTAGGGGGAGCGCTACCGCTAGCGCTGCGTTGCGGTGGCGTCGGTAAACAACCGTTGAAGCTACAAGGAACAATCAGGCAATAAACAGGAGCTGGAGTACCAAACACGATTCGCTGTCCTTGGAACAGTCCTGAATCAACCCAAAAATATCAACTTAAATTTTTAAGCAAAATTCAAGAACGAAGTTGCCCTTGAATCAAGGACTGTTGCTATCTGGGAAAGATTGTGAGTTTTTGAGTTCTAAGCTACTGTATGTCGCAGCTGAATTTCGATTCCTGATAACGAATAGGTAGAGACGCGTCATCATCACATCATCAGTAAAAAAACGGGTTTTCCTAGGTGCGGAAGTGGAGCGCGGAACTTGTTAATTGGAGAGCGGAATCCACTTGCCGTAGGCAATTTAATGTTACTGTTTTAATAGAAGGAGAGCGGAACACCATGTTAATCTCTTTTCCGCTCTCCGCGCTCCTCTTCCGCGCCTAGGAAAACCGGGCTTAAACATGGTTTGCATATGGTTTGGCGGTTGATGTGCATGGTGTTAATTTTAATAAAGAGTAGGAGCAAAGGTGGCCCTTTAACCGACCCCTCATTGAAGCACTCCTCTCAATGGGGGTATTTTTGTTGCACTCCCCCCCCCAACCAAGGAATTAAGTTAACTCACTTTGTGGAGAACAGGACATACAGGAGGTTTGTAAAAAGGCAAGGTACATAAAACCGGTAGTAGATACCAATACATAAACGTGCAAAACCACGGCCGCCTTTAACTCCAGGCCGCGGCCTTCGAAGTGGCAACGCCACAAGTAGGGTTGTGTGTAACAGCTGTTTTGTTTGGAAGTAGCTAATATGATTTGTGTATTTACGAAAGCTTGGTCACTGGACTATAAAAATATCGACTCCATTTAAATGTACAGATACATATTTTCAATTCGAATTCATAATGTTATGGTTTTAAATTATGTATGTTTTATTTCAATATTTAAATAAGTTAATGTTCCTAAATTTAAATTTAAATCAATAAAGTGCGAATTAATGAGCAGGTGTAACCTTTCTGCCATTTTATCTTATAGGACGTCTGACACCAAACAACCCCTAAAGGTGGCCGTGGCAAAACGCATAGAATCCGAATTAATTGATTGAATATTACTCAAATAGGCAATTAAAGAGACGTAGAATCTTTCCACCCTAACCCTGGTGGAACTTTTCCACTAAATCCTTGTTTTGATATCGCAATTAATTGATTGATCTTATAGGCCAACTACCTTACTACCTTATAGTCTTTTAAACTAAACTATGAATCGGGTTTTTTTTTTATTTGTATCTTTTTTTTTATTTTATAGATCACAAAATACCCTGACTTCAAAGGCTCTGTTTATTATGACATTTTTGTACATATTTATTGAATAAGCCTGATCAACGGCGTACAAAATTAGCACAGCTGTAAATTGGCTTTGAAATAACCAAAGGTACTGGTATTAGTGCAACAAGTAACCATAGGTGGCGATCTTCACCTTGACTTTTTTTAGCAAGTAAAGTTGTTATTATTTCTAATTTTGAGTGAATCAAGGTGTGTTGTGATGGTGTAATTTGTGAACAAGATTTTCTTTTTAATTGATAAAAACTTGTTTTGTAGTGATATTGAGTGACTTTTTCTAGTGTAATTGTTGTAAGTATCATTTAGATTTACCAGTACTTTTTCCATCTAATCTTGACATTGTTAATTTCAATATGAACAACACCTTATTTAACCTTTGATCAGAGATTGTTGTGATAAACAACCCACCAGGGATTGATTTTCAACTTCCCTAAGGTATTGAACTAATCTCTTAGTTTCCTAAAAAAACCTAATCTTAAAATATTCACATATTACTTCAAATTTGGCTTTTTATTGTTATGTACATTATCCTACTTGAAAGCTATAAGTTAGGCTAGGCTAAGCAATTAAAGAAAACTTAACTTGAATGTTTTTAAATATAGGCTAGGATAAACTGCTGTACCACTCTTAACTTCATGTTATTATAGCCATAGCTTAGACTATTTACTGACACTGCATTGGAATTAAATTAAACTATGATAAAGTTATTATCACCAGCCTTTGATAGGCTAGGCTAAGTAGTCTATCTTTATTTACCTATATCAAAAGGAAAATTGTTAAACAAAATCTCAACGCATGGTTGATACAACTATGAAAGCCTATCCAAGATAAATGTAGACTAGGCCTATCAGTCTAAGATTAATCAGGGCAATTCTTTGTAATGTTTTAAACACATTAACCATCCTGTTAACAAAATGACAGGTTTTTCAATTTTGGTAGAGGATACAAGTCCGGTAACCGGATGTGGATTAGGCGTCCGTCAGTTACTGTCATAACCTAACCTAACTAACCAAACTTGCTGATAGGCTAATGAAAAAATCAAATGAAGGTTAAATTCTGTTCATAAAATAAAATTATAAATGCTTAAAATTGTAACAAAAGATTTAACTTATAGTTAAGAAGAAATGGCATTCCAAGCAAAATCTTTAAAAAAAAGTTAGTGACACCTTTGTGATTGGATCTAAGTAGGCCTACCTCTTGTACATCAGCCGAGTACTCTATCCACTACACCATGAATACCGATGGTAGTAAACCGTATCATTGTATGTTAATGAAGTTCCGGGCCCCGACAACCCGGTGACGTCACTGCCGGACGCCTAATCCACGTTCGGTTACCGTACGCGTATCCTATGCGTTCAATTTTAGCAACTGTAACTTCAAACTCAGCTACCATTGACTTAAGGTATTAATTAAAATCATGATTAGGCCTAATGTACTGTAACGTCATAGATTGTGTAGCCTAATGTCAGATGGGACTAAGTTAAAGTGACACCAGCAAAGCAAGCTGGGTACCGGGTCTGCTTCTTTTGTAGGCCTACAGAAATTATTAATTTAGACAACAAAAAGAGGGGATTCTTATGGATGGTAAAGCTAGGATCGTACAGTCTACCACACTCTTAAAAAATTTTTCAACCTAAACCTTACCAGCTGTTAAATCTTCTTCCTGGTGATATGCCCAAGTGTAAGTGGACCAGTTTGATAAATCCACTGAGTTAATTCGAGTAAACTAAGTTAAGAATACAACCAAGCCATGTATATTTTCAGAGGCCATGATACCTCTCAGAGAGGACAGTTAAGTTTTAAGGTAGACCTCAAAATTCAAGAATAGGCCTAACTCCAGGGCACCATCTCCATTCACTTATGAGGCACTATTGTCACTTTGTTATTAGGCTAAATAGGACTAGCGTCGAACTTTCTAAAACACCAACACAGCATGATTGCTGTACAGTAGTTGAAGACAAATATGAATGATTTAGACTAAACTTAAACTTATTAGCTTTTTGGAGTAGGCCTACCTACTAACTTAAGACAGCTGATTTACAGTAGTTTGAGATTTTGTAAGAGATTTTGGTACTTTTGTATTAGGCCTATATGGAGGCCACTTATTTTACAGCACGCTGCAGCAGTTAGGTTATGTTTGGTTACTGTATTATAAATATGTTTGAAGAACTTTCCTCGTAAATCGGCCATGAATCAAATGATACCAGATGAGTCATAAAAAATTTATGTTAACCCAAACCAACCTAACCGCTGTAGCGTGCTGTGTAAGGGTGGCCTCCAAATAATACGAAGTAGGCCTACCGAGATTTTTTCTGTACAATGCCCAGTGATGCAAAAGTTAGTAAACAAAAAAGTGTTTTAAAATCAATACAATCATCATCAATTGACACCATTGATGCTTAGGTTTCAATAAAATGCAAGAACACAAATGCGCAACTTTTCTGTTACCTTTTTGGCCTTTTTGTGTTTACCGAGCACATTCAGGATAACATAGGCCTATTGGGTTGATAAGCTAAAGACTGACCACCCTGCACTACCTACCTATTCTGCTCTGGTCACCTCTGGTTTGCCTATGTGACTAAAATACCAAAACGGTAGGTACTTCACTGTCCGTATCACAACACAGACCAGTAGTCTATGGTGACGAGTAGTTTGAAACACATATAAACAGAAGCTGCCATTCGCGCTGCTTGCAGGAGACCTAAGGCTAGATTTGGTTATTATATTATTTATAATGAACTTCATAGCTCTTTACCCACAAAGTTCACTTTCTACATCGACATTAACCCCCAAACTACCTCCCTTCTGACAGGGGCGGTTCCATCACGGATTCTTGAAGGGGGCTCTTGCTTGGAATCTTGGGTTATAGGCTGTTTACCACCTCCTAAACACTGGGGGTTTGGGGGGTAGAGATATAAAGATTTTTAATCGTAGAAAAAAATGTTTAGGCCTAATTGTAAAGAAACCAAGTTTTAATGTCAGGGGGGGGGGTTGAAACCCACTGAAACAATAAACCATGAACATCTTCAGCAGTCGAGGAGACATTATCCTCCCCAGCGATTGAAGACAAATCCTAAACATCTCCTGCGATCAAAGGAACATCATCATCGCTATGAGCGATCGCGGCGTTTTGTTGTACATGCAGTCCTAAACCACGGCATGGTCGTAAATCCAACACTGTCTACCACCACTCATAATTCAGTTCCATTTAATATTGATTGAAGGTTTACATTTTAGGCTTTTCAAGTATTTAAATGTAGTATAAAGTCAATAACTAATTAACATTAAGCGTTGGCCATCACATTTTTAAGGTCATTGTCAGAAACTGATCCTTATCAAAATCATATCTCATTATCAATAACCTCACTACCTACATTCAAGCGCTGATTATCTGAAGCCCGGATCATCCGGAACGTGGCCGAAAAAGCCGATTACCAGCGTTGACGCGATAGCGTGAGACAACTAGTGGTGACGCCGAGACCGCATATGGTCACGGATGTTGCTACAATTGCAGGAGGCAATCAAACTAGTAAAAAAATACCTGAAAACATAAAAACATTCATTGTTGTCTTGCCTACATAGATACAAAGATTCGTCTATTTTTATCAATTTACTACGGGCACATCTGTGAAAGCAGTTAGACAATATTTGTACAGAAAATTATATTGTTTTAAAGTACCGGTATTGTAATTTGTAATAATTAACTGTATAGTAATGACAAAAAATATAGATTGTGCTAGTTCAGGGATGAATACATTTTCTCCACTATTACTTAGACACGTAGAAAAGTTATTTAAATTTTGTCTGCAATGTTTTTGACGGACTTAAATTGTTTACTCATAAATTAAGGCTGGCGTCTTGGCCCAAGTGCTCCAACAAAAAAATTGTTGTTGTTTTCTTCAGGTAGGCTACCTAGGTACCGTATATTAGAATTTGGCTATTTCCTTTTAAAATTCTTTATTTTTACATGATCAAGCAATATTTAAACCTTTTAAAGTAGGTTTCATAAGATAACAGCTAAAAAGACCTTTCAATCTTTAAATACCACAAAATATATTCTGTTTCAGACTTGCAATGTGACACCCAAACTTCATCTGCCATGTCGACCCCGACACACAAGAATACTGATCCTCCTCCCTCAGGTATGTGCTGAGACATTTTATGTGTTAAATTATACTTAACCCCTTTCACTCTTCACTGTCCATCAGCATCAAAGATGTCAACTTCTCGCATCCTAGTTTGACAAGAGACAGGAACGGTCTTGTGACTTCCAAAGCGTGTTCTTGTGACACAACGACAAAGTTTTTCGCCTGCCAATAACAGGCTGCCGCATCCTGTTGTTTCAGCAATGTTGCAGAATGTCCATTGTCGAGAGTCCGTTATCAACGGGCGTTGTATCCCAGCGATTGTTTTTAAATGTGTTGGACATTACTAAAAATTAAATTTACTGTCATGCAAACCGATCATCGAAAAGATTTTTTCAGAACTATTGGTTTTACAAAAACACCATTTGGCGGATCTGCTGAGGCATTGCCGCAGCGCAACCGAAAAGGGTTTTTTAATAACAAGGAGGTTCGCCACAACAGGCTAGCCTGACAACAGTTGTCGTGTGGCAACCCAGTTATTCATCCTGTTATGTTATATAACCACCATGGACTAGGGTGACTATTGTTTTTTATTTATAGGGCCTACTAGAAATATGTCTAAGCTGAACTCAAACCACAATATTGGGAAGTTGGCGACAGCAACATCTAGTAGCAATCATTGTGATTTATCAAGATTCAAATATCTTTATTAATTTTTTACAAAATACAATAAGGCGTCAATAGATGTAGATCCAGGCAAGGGTGGTCCTAGACCTATTTTTTTGGGGGGTACTTGTACCTGAAACGGTAGGCTTCTTAAGGTAAGAATGTTGCTAGCAGTAACTGTTCTCTGAAAAAAGAAAAGGAAAAAGTAGGCCTAGGCCTATAGGTTATGAAGTTTTAAAAATGTAATTATAAAACAATTGTGGGTAAAGTTTCACTCATATTTGGGTTAAAATACACACCTAGGTGGTGTCCCCATCTCAACTACAGTTGAACCTCGTTTGTACGAACCTCGATAAAACGAATTCCTCGATAAGACGAATTTTTTTTAATCCCCTTGACACTTTCATATAGTTCAATGCTAAAAACACCTCTATACAACGTAGTAATTAAGTTAAAAACCTCCATAAGACGAATTTGTTTGTGACATGGGCTAGGACTAAATAACCTCTATACAACGAATATTCTTAGCTCAAAACCTCTACAAGACGAACGTGACCTCTATAAGACGAATTTATCATAATCTTAACCTCCATAGTACGTAGTTTTCAAAACAAACAGAAGCTTGTCTCAACATGAAATCCCCACCCATCCCTCCTCCTTCCTCAGTGATTGTTTGGAAAAACCTTGGAGCGAGGAGAAACCTCTATAAGAAGAATAACAGCAGCATTAAACCTCGATAAAACGACCCTCTTTATTAAGAATACCTCTATAGTACGAATTTTTCCCGTACCCCTTGAAATTCGTCTTATAGAGGTTCAACTGTAATTGATACCGGTAATTGATAGTAGAATAGTATAGAAACAGTGAGGGCATCATTGTTTAAAAACATTATACTCCATATTAACTACTTACTAGCTGTTACCTAACCCTCAGCAGAAGTTTTGCCAGCAAAACTCTCTATAACTCTAAGGGATGGAAGTGAATTTATAGTCATATTCATGGTCAAGAATCTTTATTCATAGTATACATGGTTGTACATGAATAGTGTCAAATAAATTAAAACTAATGCTTAAAACTATGATAAAGTCATTTTCAATTCATCTAAAGAGTATAAAGACAGATCCATTAAATATGCCTTGAGACTTCTTTTTTAAATTTTGGGTTTTTGTTCTGTTTTAATTTTCAAAGGAATAAATTTAAAAAATACATGTCCTGCATTGATAGTCTTTTTTTGAAGAGCTCTAATTTATGTTTTCCAATTACAAAGTTATTTTTGTTACTTGTATTGTAGTTATAATTGTTTCTTTAATTGGTGGATTGAAATTTTTGTTTTTGACAAACATAATACATTTAAGAACATAGAAACCATAAACAGTGAAGATCCTTAAATGTTTAAAGTGTTCTTTTCCAGAATCATCTTTGTTCATTTTTAACATAGCTCTGATTGATTGCTTCAGTATTGTCAAAATTTGGTCTAGATTCAAATTTGAGGTGGCTCTATATACACATTACAACGGTGTTTTATTGTATTTATATGTAATTAAAATTTGGATATAATTACTTGGGTTCCAACAAGTTAAGTTAAGCTACCTCATTTTTGATTTTATACTCAGGGTCTAAGTTATTGCTGTACGGTAACCAGGAAAAATAAAAAAACATGAAATTGAGAACAAAAATGGACCTTTATTTAAACGTAATGACTTATAAACTACTTACAGAATTCAAAATCAAACATAAGTTAAGATATTGATAAATTTAGAGATTGTTTACGAATTTTAAATAATTAGACTATCCTACCTAGGCCTATATGATTTTAAATTATTGATATGTGATTTATGGCTTAAATAAATTAAATTAAATCTGGCCTGTTTGTGTGGTGATCTGAAGTTTCATCGTTGACTACGGTTCCGCAGTTGGGCTGTAACCAGACAACAGTCTCCCACTGTAGACGGTACGGTGATATCAGAAAGAATAGTTTGATTTCAGCAAGATGTTTCTTTGATGCCCACTCGGCCTTTGCGTAAACAGTAGAGGTTGAAAATACACAACGTCGGTCTGAAGATAGAAATAGGCTGCTAAGTCATCAGATCCACCCTCAAAACAGACGGGAAATGTCGATGTATGCACACAGACACAACAGAACTAACCTATATTGTCGCTAACAACAAGAACATCACACATATCGGTTTCACAACACAGAAGAATAATATATAATGTGTAGGCGTCACGAATTGGAAACACATTCACTTCGTCCACTGCAGCACGACTGTACTAATCACCCCTACATCGCAGCCAAAACAAATACATCCATTCATCTAGGGTGGTATACTTTGACTGACTTGCCTAGTCCCTGCTCACCGCTCACCTCCTACACCTAACCCGTATGGTTCGAGCTCTCCCATTGGCTGCCGAACTCACCCTCGGCTCCCGAACCTCGAAGATATACGAGACATGTTTGCGTCATCGCATTGGCGCCATCTCCACAAGCAAGTCCCAACAGGAAAATTTTATGTACTCTTAATTGCATTTTGTCACGTAGGCCAAGTAAATTAATCGATTTATTTTTATATTAAATATTATCAAATTACCAAATTACCCTTCACAACATATGCCGTAAGATATACTAGTGTACATGGTGCTCGAATTCGAGCAATTGCAATGTATTACAGGAGTTATTTCAAAACGTCATATTTACAATGAGTTTAAAAGAGTCAACTCAAAGATTACCGTTGTGTAACTCAGACCATGTTTATCTTCGTTATTGATAAACCTAAAGCATTCCGGCCGGTTTTCTCCTTCTCAAAATGCCTCGCTGTACAGGCAACACAGGTCATTGATAGAGGGCCAATCGGAGAACAAAAATTTGTTTTGGGATAGTGTTAGGGCGCATATGTAACCTAATAGTTGAGATTGTCCAGGGTCAGGTGCTGACTGTGATGATTTAAGCCTATTACGCACCACTGTTCTGTAGCTGCGGTCGTTATCACGATTACGCCTCCTGTCTATTTTTCGTTGTCGTCGCGTCGAAGGCATTTAAAAGTAAAAACAACAAATAAACAAATTATAGCTACACAAAACAACGATAAATGCACAAATTTAAGTTACAATCGTGCTAACACAATCCGTCATGGCGACACAAAATAACGATAAATACACAAATTTAAGATACAACCATACTAACACGATCCATCTTGGGGGTTATGTTTACACAAACTCAAATAGTAAATAAATAAATAACAGCAATTAAATTATACAGCTGATCAAAATGTAAACAATTATGTTCTTCATAAGGATAACATGGGAACTTTCAAAGCCACTGGGGCAGAGCCCAAGGGACTGTTTCAAAAATGTAAGGCCAGTTTGCAAATCTACGCGACACGCTCTTTCCAATGAGACATCAATGGATAAAATCGGTTAAGAAATGGCGGAGGAGTTCAACCGAAAAAGTTGCATGTAGCGTATTAATTATGTAGATGGGATTGAATATGGGAAAAATAAATCATTTTAAACACTTAAATACTGCATAGTTTTGGCATTTTTCTAATCGCACAAAGGCCGGAATTTATTTGATTTAAAACAAGTTGACAATGTTGGTACCAATACAAGTTACTGTCCAATGTCAGGCCAAGGAACCTTACGGCTTCTGTTATTTCAATTGGTTGGTTATTTACTTCAATACTAGATAACCTGTTGATCGAAATCGAGCAAAACTGCAAATTGAAATAAAAAATACCCCCGCCGCAGCAAACCTGCAGACTAAGCGAATTTCCATTTCCCTGAATGGATTTACACTAAAATGTCTCCTTAAAAATATCACATTTATTCCCTATTTAAATAGAATCAGTTTAAAACATTGGTTTGCTGCAACAGGGAGGGTAAAAGGGTTTTTTATGTAAAATCTTAATAGTTAGTAGTTAATAGTTAGTATCGTTGACATAAAAACATTTTCCAAATTTGGGCAAAATATGTTAATAAACAAGCAAACTACAACAGTTTACTTATTCTCCATAAAAATAACATGGGAATTTTAAATTTACAATTTTTTGGAATTTTCTCTGTAACCATTAGGCGCATTATAACGCTTCAATATACTAAATTATTTGTTTTTTTAAGCTCTACAAAATAGTTTAGAAAGAAATTGCAAAATTTTATGTTTTTTGGGTCAAAAATGGGAAAAACCCATTTTTACCCCATAAAAGCCCCCATAAACTCCCGTTCCCGTGGTCCGATCATGCTGGTTCGCGAACTCGTTCGAATAAACGTAGGCTTACACGTTTGTACCAAATGTCATCAAAATCGGATCATTTTTGCTCAAGTTATCGCGCTAACGGACACATATATATATATATATATATAAATATGAAAAATAGAAAAATAGGGCTACTATATAT